AATGAAAAATTGAAAATAAAGTTTCCTTTTTCTTCTCTTGGAAGATAGATTAGATTCAAAACTCAACAAAAGAAAGTGTATAGATTTTTATTTATTTTATTTTTTCGATGAAACCAGAAGATCGAACACAACACTGTCTTGTTTCTTCTCTCTTTTGCTATCTTCTTTAAAACACAAACACAAGAAAAGAAAATTAAAAACTGCTTACCCTCTGGTCTTTACTGCGACACTCTTCTTTTTTAGCCATTTAAAAATATATATATATATTTTTCCTTATTTAGTTTTCTTGATTTAATAAGAACCGTTGGATACGGATTGAACAGTGAGATGGACTTCTAGAAGTTAAAAAGCCTTAGCCATTTCGTTATGGATAACAACCAATGAAATTATGACACATGTATTTCTGTAACGGGAACACGTTATACTGGTTTTACTGGATAATAATCTCTTGTAAGTAAAAGATTTTAGTACCACGCGCCATTCTCATTTTCCAGATTTCTCTCTTATCTATAGGGAGGTATATTTCACGCGCCAAAGATGCGAGTGTGATTAGATTTAAACCCTTTTTCGAAATTATTTCAAAAACTTGGGCTAATATATATAGGCTTAATTCCTGGGCTTTTGATAGTGAGACTTTTCTGGGCTCTCTTTAATATCCATTATCTTGTTTATTATTATTTTTGTTATTTCTTCGTCACGTACATATTTGATATTAATTTATTCTATAATTTATATACAAAGTATATGAAAGTTGAAATTTTTTTATCATTGTAAAAGAAATTGTTTGCTTGAATAAAAGTTTACTCTGTTTTTTTTTTTTGGTTGGATTAAAGTGAATTTTTTTTCTTTCTCAAATAATTAAATTATGGCTATAAAATTTTTCTTCAAGTATATAGAAATGTGCAAGTATGAATTAGGCTGCCTGCTTGCTTGCTAATTGCTATTAACCCCAATGAGTTTATGTTTTGTAAACAAATTTTAAAATAAAGTTCTATTTTGGAATTTGTGGGCAAACATCTATGAGTTTCAAATTTGTTAAAACACTTCAAAATCTATATTTGTAAGTTTCTTTAGAAATTACTATTCGATGACAAATGGTAGAAACAATTTAGTTTCTAATTCAAAATACATTTTATTTATTTAATTGGTAATAACATCAAAATATATTAGTTTTTGGAATTTGTGGGTTAATCATCTCCTATAATTTTCACACAAAAAAATGTTGTACGTTTTTTTAAAATTTATTTTAGTAAGAAGAAAGTAAAATAAAAGTTCTCATAACAGATTGTTTTGAAAGAAAATAAAGTAACTAAACTAAAATCCCACCAACGGTCTGTTAAATTTTGAAAATAAAGATATTCCAACTTGTAACTCATTATGCTTTAGTCGTGAAAGTTTAAACTTTTGTTTTTCAATCAACACAATAGGATTAATTATATTTTGTTAAGAAACACAATAAAATTTTAATCTCACTTTCTCTTGTGTTTAAAGTTTAAACTAGTTGCGATATTTGAGATTTTCTAATTATGAAAAAACGAATTTAGGAGAAGAATCATGTGTGGTTTATGAAATTAAATTAGTGTTGAAAAAATCAAAATAAAAGAGAGATAACTTCGTTTGTTATGGTTTTCGGGTCCACAAAAAAAAACAGTCCAGCCTCATGCATATGATTATGAATAACTAATTGTATGTTTAGTATTTTTAAGCTTTTCCAGCTAAGTTTATTTGAAATCTTCTTCTTTGGTCAGTTTGATTTTTGTACAAATTGAAATATTGCAATGATTAAAGGAAGAAAGATAAAGTTAAACAGGTGTAATATTTAGAATATTAATTCTTCAATTCTGTAATGGGGTAGTTGGTCATTTTCATAGTTTGGTATGAACGTTGATACAAACATCACTAGTTTCAAGGAAACGGCTAAAACGGCTAATACAACGACTATCAGAAACGTAAATTAAATAAATAAAATGCTTGTTTCGTGTCTTAGATTAAAAGGAAAACGAGTAATCTAGAACATAATTTTTTTGTTTTTTTTTTAAAGTAGATTATTCAATACTGTTATTTAACCAAAAACATGTGATCTAGTGATTTGGTAAATTAGATAGATTATTTGTCATGTGGATAAAATTCTACAAT